TTATTTGCAAAAAACATCATTTTTGAGGTTATTTTGTTAAATAAAAAAAAAGCACACTACTTAAAGAGGTAAACTATTTTTTTCTTTATTTCTGATAAGCTAATGAAGCGATATCCGCAAGGTTTACTTTGCGAGGAATTTTTCCGAAGTCAAAGTCTAATTGCACTCCACTAAATACATTCTGAGCGAAATTATAAAAAAGAAAATAAAAACTAAAACTAAAACTAAAACTGAAAAATAATTTTAATTTTGAATTTGTTAATTTATTTTTGCGTTATTAGAATATGAATAAGGATTGATTTAAATATATATTATAAGAGAAACTAAATGTGTAATACTATTTTTCGCTCTTATGGCATTGATATATTTCTATGTCATATTCATTTCTTGTATAAAATAACAAATATTTACTGCAACATAGTTATTCGTTCTGTGTATACAAATTAATATTCTTTCTAATATATTATACAGGATGTGTATACAGGGTGTCTGGTAATAATCACATCAGTTCTCGTGGGCTGGTAGAACAGATTAAACTAAACAGAAAAGTTCTGTGTCATTTTGCATCGTTCGCAATCATTAACAAAATATTAATTTTTAAAGATTGGCGAATAAACGCGTATCCGTCCGGCCCACCGCTGAATGCGCGCGGCGAGTTGCTCACATTGGCTTATTATTTTTATTATTTATTTGATTTATTTCATATTAATCATTTAAGCCTAAATTTTATTGAATAGTGAAAAATATAAAACGTTGATAAGTTTTGTGCAATCTGTTAATAATTAAAGTTATTATTTTCGCGGAACAATTAATACAATGCTTGTCGTCGATTATTCAAGACTGAGCAGATTAAACTGGCCGCCAACTCACCGCGCGCTTATATTCAGCGGTGGACCGGACAGTGTTTATTCGCCAATCTTCAAAAATTAATATTTCATTAATGATTGCGAATTTTAGATAATAGAGAAGATAATAGAGAACTTTGCTATTGAGTTTAATCTGTTCTACCAGCCCACGAGAGTTGATACGGTTATTATCGGACGTTCTGTATATATATGTGTGTGTATACGTATGTATGTATATTGTATAATTTTATAATTCCTTTCATTTACATAAAATTAAATTTGTAACAGAATAATACTCCAACGAAGAAGTTAGCGTGCATAAAATAGCTAATTAATAACAATCAAACATTTTGACATTAAGTTATTGTTTGGTAATGCAATACAAGTAAGTATAAGTAAAATAATTTGTACAAATCGCGGATCCGTTGTGACTCAAATAATAATCAACAGTAGCACGGAAATTATACAATGCAATCAATTAAAAAATTTACAAATACATTAAAATATCAAAAAAATAAATGCCATCCAGTTGATGATAGCCAGATATATTGATATTGATTTTAATACAATTTAGTAGACTTTACAATTGCTTAAATGCTGCTTCGTCTCATATTTATTACTTTTTAATTAATAATGCACGTAAATGAGCTGATTGTAATTTCTTAGAGATAAAAAAAATCTTTCATATTTGTATATATTTGTTGTTCATTTTCGTGATATCATTAATATAAATTTTTAGTAAACGTTATATTGAAAAAAATCGCACATTATTAATCACACTGCTTCTTTCTATAATTTACAATCAAATTTGTATTTTGCAATTACGAAGATACGCTATCACTCAAATGTTGAAACAGCTATTCGTTTAAGGGCCCTGCCTATAGTCACCGCGGCCATATTGGACTCGTGACGACACAAGCGAGAAACAGCGAGAAATGACACATTAAAGTTTCTTGCGTGCCATTTAAATAAAGAGAATTTAGATAAAATTAATAAATAGGATCGCTTTAGAAAAACTTGTAAAAATGGGTGTAAACTATCCTTTTTCCCCCTGAAAATCAGTGAATAGTCATAAAAGGCACGTAAAGTGATCGAAGCTTATTCAGGCAAGAAAACTCACGATTTGATAGCTGATGTTGAAAGGAATGAAAAAGATACTTTTACGTATAAAATTCGATAACTATAGTTTACACCCATTTTTACGACTTTCATAAATTCACAATTAAGCATATGATAACGAAATGGCACGCAAGACAAAATTTCATCGTCAACACTTTTCACGGTAGATCCGTTATTCTCTTCAAATCGTGTATTCTTTTCATATTCGAACGAGCCTAGTATGACAAAGAAACTTCTAATTTCTACCGCAATATAGCGTGGCCACCGTCAATGCGAAGTTATAGCGTTTTCGATTTGTTGACTCGATCCGATTCCGAGTCAAAATAGTCTGTTCTTTTTAGCGTTTCTTGTACATTTTAACTATTTTTTTTATAGCTAAACCGAACAGACCGTCGACTCGGAGTCGGATCGAATCAACAAATCGAAAACGCTATTAGAGTCCCTCTAGTCAGAGTCAAGACATAAGACCGTAGTATGGGGCCTTCACGTATTCACTTATTCACTAACCATCAATTGGTCTGGACATGGCGGCTCATACTAAGAAAAGTTGGTTTCACGCACAGTATAACCAGTAGGTCCACTCAGCGAAAAACTAAGTCTTCGCGCAGGTATCGCCGCGCAACTTTTGTTTTGGATCCAATGAAATGTAAGACGATAGGAACGTACATACATACATATGTGCAGACAATTTATAAGCAAATACATCAGAAATTTTCTTTAGTGATCACTCCTACGAATAATTGTTACTAATAAAACATTTTATTTGATTCACACATTAATTTATTGATTTATGGTATCGAATCCATATTATTACTTATCTGTTTTATTACTTGTGAGGCACTTTTCTCAATTCGATCCTGGATTTAACATGGTGGATGCTTACGTGATCCGGAAAAGGAGATCAAAGGCGCCACGAAGTGGACCTACTGATTATACTGTGGTATTAATACGTATTCATCTTTTTCACTAACCATCATTTAGTCAGACATGGCGCCGACCAATCGCGAGAGAGCTTGCTTATGTCTCGACTCTAACTAGAGGGACTCGGAGTTCGTGGCTGACTAGGCAGGGGCCTTAAGAGGATGCTGAAAGGTCGGAATTACCGACAAATTACAGTTTAGTTAATTTCTCCGAATTGACTGAACGGAATTGAAAATCCTTTCAGAGGATTAAAATAGACATAAAATTGTGATGTGAGACAGACAAATTTGTAGTAAAATCGCAAA